GCCGTTCATCAATAAACTGACAGATCATTTAGTGTCAATTAGGAGTGATAGATGGACAAGTCCCCATGATCCTGGGCCAAAATTAATGGCTGGGAGGGAGAGGGTGATTGAAAATGACGGCTGACATTGAGAGCAAAGTCCTCAAAGTCCCCGAGGGGCCATTACTTGCCTCATTCCCTTGCAGATCAATGCAGGGACAAACCCAAAAACAGACACTTTGAGACAAAACTTAGTCAGAAGGCCTTTTCCTTCCCAGGTCTGGGTCCCTTGCACTCAGCTCTGCTCACCACGGTCATGCTGGTGACCCATCAACTCTTTTAGTGTCCCCATTCAGACAAATTCAGGCAGTTGACTCCAAGATGGTGGCTTGGGCACAGCTACTACTTTCAGGTCAGGAGAAGGCACAGGTAAGAATTTCGGGTCCCAAGCTATTCCTCAAGTCAATCCTACCCACCCTGGAGTGAGTCCGGGTTCTAGGACATGGTACCTCCCAGGGCCAAGGCCCACAGATATTCTGCTCTGTCTTAAAGAGTGTTTCACACTGAGCAAAGGTATCATGGGAGCTCATGTGTGTCACTGTGAGCTCATTTGTCAGAGCCATAAACAGCCCTCTTCTTTCCACAGGAGACATGTAGCTGTCTCAAACTGCCCTCTGTCCTTCTTCACTGAATGGAGCCTTCCTGACTTTAGTTACAGCTCTGAGCTGTTTGCACCCCATCCCCAGATTCTTATGTTGAAGCCCTAATCCCTAAGGTGATGGTGTTTGCAGGTGGTTATTTGGCTGGGCTGAGGTCACAAGGATGAAGCTCTCACAATGGGAGAGAGAGAGAGAAACTGACCTACCCAGAAAGAGCTTCTCATCAAGAACTCTGTCATCGGACCTTAGACATCTTGCCCCCAGAAAGACTAGTGGAAATGGGCATTGTCTGAGCTCCAGGGATTCTGGTAATTCCTTACAGCAGCCAGACTGTGTCAGATATGTGTAGTGCCATGAGGCTATTGTTATACCAGAAGCTTTTAAAGTAAGCACACTACTCTGCAGTTCGAATTTTCTGATGTAGCCAGCCCACTCTTACTGTCTTTGTCAGAATCCAACTAGCTTGACCCCATTTACTCTACAAGGTGGCTCCGACCTGAGAGTCACTTTCTTCTGATGCCACATGGCTAGCACTGCCCATTTGCCTCTCACTTACCCCGTGCTCCTTGGGCGATTCGTGACTTTTTGACTAGAGATACCTGATGTCCTTGATTAGAATCTAGCTCTCCCAGGACAGGAAACACACCCTGCATTGTAGTCCTCACTAACACATTTTGGTTTGTGCAAAAAAACACTAGGAAGCACTAAAGTTGCTAGGGAAAAAGTTGTGTAGAACAGACTCCGAGCAGTGCCCTAAGACAATCAAAGTCAGTCACTATTTGCTTTGCTCCCCACCAAAGCTGAGCAGTCACACTCGGTACCACTGACATGGGGCTCACACTCAGTAGCACTAACATGGGGCTATGTTCAATCCTGTGCGTTCTCATGAGACGTGGGAGGAAGCACACAGTATCACCTGTTCTTGCCCCAGACCTTCATCTTGAATCTAGTCATGACAAATTGGAGAAACTGAGAGAGAGACCTTCTGTGAGGCAACTGGCCGGATGCCTCAGACATAGAATTGGGAGCTGTTGTAGATCAAGAAAGTGAAAGGAGCTGGGCCTGGTGGCTTATACTTGTAATTGCAGCACTTGAGAGGCTGAGGATGGATATGGGTTTGAGGCTAGATTATAAAGACCCCATCTCCTGAGAGAGAAGGGGGGGGGCGGTGTAGAACTGTAGCTGGTATAATGTGTGGATTCTGATTGGCTTCCAGGGCTAGAAAAACATCGAAGGACAAATAGGGACATTTAAATGTAAACTACGTATCTGATACTATTAAGTAACTATGCAGTGACCTAGTGGTCGAGTTTCTGTGTCTATGCTGGAAGACGCAGGCTTTAGCATTTAGGAATAAATGTCATAGCATCTACAACTTACTTTGGAATGGCTCGGGAATAATACAGAGGATGAGGGAGATGGAAGGAGAAGAGAGGGGGAGGAACGGATGCAAAGGATTGGAAACATGTCCTGCTGTTGGTTTTTTGATTCTGCTCTAGTGCTGGGGACAGAACCCAGAACCTTTTGCATGCTAGGCAAACTCCCATCCACTGAGCCACATCCCTCTAACAGTGTTGTTTTGAAGACAGCTGCTTAAAGAAATTCTGATTATGGGTGATGTCTACTCCTTAAGACTATACATCTTGAAGACAGTGTGCATCTTTGTATGTCTTAAATAACCTTGGTGAGTGGCCATCCCACTGGTGGAGTGAATATAGGTTTGGTCTACCCTACATCGAAGACTTAATGCAAGGTATTAAAAACAAAACAGACTTGTAAGTCCACCATTAGCTGGGAACTTTGAACAGACAGAGTACTTCCCCTGTCAACTTACAGCCACCCCCACTCCACTTACTTCATCTGTAAAATGGGACTAAATAAAATGTCCAACAGTATCCTTTGTGTCAGATTAGCCTAGGTTACACAATGAGTCAAACTTCTAGAAGCCACAAAACCCAACTGTAACCCAACCTGTCCAGTCTGGAAGCTGCCCACCCCAGAACCAATGAAAACCAGAGACACACAGGGCCAGGTGGCAGCCAGCACTGGCCAAGTGACAGCCTCCTATTTTATAATCCCGGAACTAAGAGAGAGCTGCACCATCACTATGTTTGTAAGCACCACAGTTAGAATATTTTTGTTTCCTGTGGCACAGGGGATCAAATCAGGCCCTTGCACATGCTAACAAGAACTGCAGCTCCTGGCTGGGCACGACATTGAGCTTCGTGCTTTTCCTGTGTTGTGTATTCCAGCCTCAGAGCAACTCTGTGCCCTGAATACTGCTGCCATCTTATAGGGCTAAGTAACATCCCTAAGTGTGCACTGCCACTGAAGTAAGTGCTACAACCAAAATCCACACCCAGGTGTGTCTGAATCAGGCGTCCACGGCTTTAAGTTGATTCCTATGGGCAAGATCACAGATGACCAACTGCCATGTGACCATCGGTGTGCAAATCAGGCTCTTTTGAGAGTGCTGGAAAGAAGTGTGGGACTGTTCTCCTTGACTCAAGACAAGTCGGTTTGGAAACCTTCCCAGAGACATGGATGCTATCCCTGATGGCTCATGAGTTCCACCTATCCCGGATGGCTCAAGAGCTCCATCTCTGTCTAGACTTAAAAACGCTCACCACACCGGGGATGCAGCTCAGTTGGAATACTTTCATCTAGCAGAGAATGAACCCTGGGTTTGATTCCTGCCACCATGTAAGCCAGGTGTGGTGGTGCACACCTGTAATCTCAGCACTCTGGAGGTGGAGGCAGGAGGATCAGACAAGTTCAAGGTCATCCTTAGCTACCTGTTGAACTAGAAGCCAGCCTCAGCCACATGGCACTCTGTCTCAAAAACAAAACTAACAAGTCCAACATGGTTGTGCATGCCTTTAATCACATCACCATGGAGGCAGAGGCAAGTGGATTTCTGGGAGTTCAAGGCCAGCCTGTATTACTTACATAGCAAGTTCCAGGCTATCCAGAGTGAGATCCTGTCTCAAACAAACAAATGGGAACAAACAAAACCCAACCGAGACAATCCCATAAAATTTCCTTTGGAAGCCTGACATGCCTATGTTAAGCCTCCTAAGAACGCTGATATTCAAGACAACCCTTCATTTTCTAGACCTAGAAGTACTCCCAAAAGACCCTTTGAGGAAATGTATACACATCACTGTCTGCCAGAACACTGGTAGAGAAAATGGTCAAAGCCACCCGTGAAGGCATGAGGACAAGAAACCCAATTATCACCATAGCAACAGCAGCAGCAGCAGCACCCCACATCTACCTAGTGCCTCCTAAATGTGTCTTTCTCTTCTGGGAACCCATTGGTCCTCACATCAGTCCACTGAAGTGGGAGCTATTTTAACCCCACTGCAGAGATGAGCAAAAAGAAGTCAGACAGCTTAATCGCCTGCTCAAGGGCTCTGTGGTATAATACTGGGCATAGCCGGGATTTGAAACCAGGCATTCTGGTTCCAGAATCTGTGTCTCTTGATCACCGTACTCTGCCATCTCTCAACATGGAACCACAAGGCCTCTGACATAAGCTTGAAAAGGTGGGGGGTGGGGACAGAGGGTGGCTGTTGCTTCAGCCCCTGCACCACCCAGTCAGAAGCACTGATGTGTCCATCCAGAGGCTCAAGGACCATGAACACCTTGCCCAACCTTATCCCCCTGGGTGAGGATGGACCCAGCATCCGCAGCCCCACACAACTTAAAAGGGACACCTCGGGTCTGTGGCACTGGTTGTTCCCTTCTAGGAGTCCCAAAGAAGAAGAGAGGATGATAAGACAATGTTGAATTATTGTGGACCAATGTTCCCACCAGCTCCCGGCACCGGCTTGTGATAAACACGAGAGGCCAACCAGGCAGTGACAGGACACCTGTCCTATTCCTCACGAATGAATGGTGTGTGTCCAATGCAGACATGTTGCAGAGTTCATCCACAGCAACTGACAGTCTGCTCCAGCATGCTGAAGAGATGAAGAACAGAGCAGGGCTGGACTTTGAAAATGGCCGGCCAAGCAAGAGGAGTCATAAAAGATGGACTAGATCAGGGACCCACTGACACGGACTTCAGTAGAAGCAAATCAGAGACAGAAACTGACTGCTGTCCACGGGTGGGAAGTGGGGTGTCGTGGAAAGGGGTTGTTAAGCGACGCGGGGCTTGTTGGGTGCGATGGGAGAAAAATGTCCTCAAATGGACTGGGTGGCAGGTGCAGAGCTGTGCCTATCCTAAGAACAATTATATTGTACACTTAAATGGTGTGTGGCTGGCCTCAGAAAGGTTACAAAAATGATGGCACAGGTATCCCATGGCCATACCCCATGCCCCCAATCCCAATTTCCCCCCTGGGAGTTGCGTACTCACTTTGACATCTTCACGGAGTCATCTGCCCAGCCTCCCTGGCGCCGAGGTGGTTTTGGTGGGGGAGCCTATGTGAGAGAAGCCAGAATGACAATCACTCAGCTTGTGCCTTCCAACACTACAGAGCACCAGGTTCAGGCCACCTAAACCAAGGTAGCTCACTGAAGCACTTCCCCGATAAAAATATGAAAATAAATTCTAATTTACTGTGAAAACCATACCATCTTCTGTCCTGGTGTGGAAATTGGCACACTGTTCCTGATGAACAGCTGGCAGGTGTCTACCAAAGACTTAAAATATTCAAGACTTTTTTTCCAAGCTGGGAGAGTAAACCCAGGGCCTCATTCGTGCTTAGTACAAACTCTACCGATAAGCTGCAATCCGTGTGCGAGCAGTCTCCCCTACAGATTTCGGAAGGCTGCCGTCTGAACCTCCACGCTAAACAATTCTTGTAGGCCTACTCACAGATGTCGTTAGAAACCCTAATATAGGACCTTTACAAACTTCATTCCAGAAGATTATTATTTTTTAAAAATGCTTTTTATTTGTGCGAGTGTTTTGCTTCGATATATGTGTGTGTGCAAGCCTCTATAGATCCTATGGAAGCCAGAAGGGGGTGTCAGATCACTTGGAACTAGAGGTAAAGCTGATTGTGAATAGCCATGTGGGTGCTGAGAATAAAACTTGAGTCCTTTCCAAGAACAGCAAGTGCCCTTAACTGCTGAACAATCTCTCCATTCCCACAGGGGACTGATCTTAATGTGTTGTATTTGGCATGATGGTACCTGACCCAACACTCACAAGGCTCAGGTAGGAGGATAGGAAGTTGAACCTGGAATACAGAGTAAGGCTGTTCATAAATGGAGGTAAGGAAGAAAGGAAGGGGGAAAGAAGGAAGAGGAAAGGGGGAGGAAGGAAATTCAGGATCAAAGTAATTGCCAAAAGCACCAGTTAGTCTTTACAACATATTCCAAAAGTCTTTAGGTGGAAAAGCATCATAAGAACCCTTCTTTAGAAGAATATCCTTTGTGGTTGAAAGGAGATAGAATACCTAAGGGATTCGCTTATTTAACAGTTGATCAACAACTAACCATTTGAAGATGTGTCAGGTGAGTCACAGACCTTCCCTCGGGCAAAGTGTAAGTTGGTCAGCAGGACTCTTCTTTCAACAGCAGCTCCATCATCACAGAGCTCCCACGTCCTCTAGAAACATGGAGAAAGTATTTAAAGACTATCTAGTCAGGCATGGTGGCTATGTCTTTAATCGAAACATGAAAGGGATGGGGGCAAAAGTAGGTGGCTGTCTATAAGTTTGAGGTCAACCTGGTAACCTGGTATATGTAGTCTGTTCTAGGGCAGCCAGGGCTACATAGAGAGAAATTTTCAAAAATAATGTTTGTTTGATCTTATTCCCATTTCATAAGCTTGGCCCTGAGTCTTGCTTACTTACATATTTCTCTGACATTCTTATCGTTTCTCCATACTGGGCACTTCCTCCCTAGTCATATTTATGTGTGGTGTTTATCCTGCTTTACATAACATAACTTCAATCCTACTCATTCTTGTTTGTGATGTGTGTGTTGTGTTGTATGTGTGTATATGTCTGTTGGATGTGCTGCATGTGTATATATATGTATGTGTATGTGTTGTGTGTGGTGTATGTGTATGGTGTATGTGGTGTGTGTGTGTGTGTGTGTGTGTGTGTGTGTGTGTGGCGTATGCATGTATGTGGGGGGCAGGGGATGTGCCGTGTGTACAGAGGCCCAGGAGTGGCACTGGGTGTCTTTCCTCAATTGGTCTCCACCTTGACTTCTTCAGACAGGGTGTCTCACTGAACCTGGATCGCACTGATCAGGCTAGAATGGCTGAGCAATGAATGACCTGCCTTTCCCTCCCCATGGTTACAGGACTACATCACCATGCCCAGCTTCTTAGGTGGGTTCTGAGAATCTGACACTTTACCTACTGAGCCATCTCTCCAGCCTGCTTATGCTTGTTAAAGCAACAATTCCTTATTTTTTTTTCTTTAAAGATTTCTTTATTTTTACTTGATGTGTGGGAGATGTTCTGCCTGCATGTATGTCTGTGCACCACATGTGTGTAATGCCTATCATGACCAGAAGAGGGCATCAGATCCCCTGGAACTGGAGTTAACAGATGGTTGTGAGCCACCATGTGGGCACTAGGGGGATGGAACCCCAGGTCTTTTAGGAGAGAAGCTGGTGCTCTTAACCACTGAGCCATCTCTCCAGCTCTAAGGCAGCAATTCTAAACCCAGAAACTTGTCCCAAAGACATAAATACGAAGAATATATGTCATTCCTGTGTAATGAACACTTGGCAATAACCAAAATGGACAGCAATAAGGAACTAAAAAAAAAAATGAAAGAATATATACAAAATAGTATACAGGTAATGTAAAACTATATTCTAAAACTAACTTCAAAGCTCATATACATTAATTAGAAAAACATATTTCAAAACAGTAGGAATAAGGATCTGATTTTGCAAAGATTGAATGCAGACTACTTAGTTCATTAGCTCTGTGCACACACTAGGGACTCCCAATCAAGGGAGATTTAAATTTTCCATCCCTGTGCTGTCATGACTTTTCTAACTTTTAATGGTCTATTTATATTACTTTTATAAGAATAAAAGTAATAAAATGAAGATTTAAAAGTAAGGTTTGCTTAGCAGACATAAACACGACACTGGCAGGTTCTACTTTCCTCAAGCTATTTGGCCAGGAAGCAAACATACTCCCCTGGAATGGGCACGGTCAGAAACTCTATTGTACAGATTCTTACCCAGCATGCTCTAACTAAAAATACCACCCAATAGCAAGCCTCAACAGCACCTGAGCTGGGTGAAACAGCCCGGAGTGTGTCCTATTTTTGAATTACCCAGCATTCTTCTAGGAACTTTTTTTTTTTTTTGAAATCTCAGTTTCCTTTTTTCAAGAACTTCACAAAATTCTAATTGTGGCTCTCAGTCTGGAGAGGAGTTCTGATAAATGGACTACAATAGGAGTCAGTAAACTACAAAGGACTAGGAGGTAAATATTTCTCTTATGGGCCACACTGTCTCTGGTGTAACCACTGAACTTCGACCCTGTGGAGAAATAAACAGTTCAGATACTCAGGCAGACAGGTATAGCTGACCTTCAAAAACAAAACAGAAACTCTAAAGCTAGGCAGTGGGCCAGCTGTGAGGGGAAGGATGTGGTTTGCTGGCCCCTGGACCGGAATGTCATATCATTGTGACCTCCTTTCTGAAGCCTAATAGGACTATTTGAAGGAAACACCCTTTCAGTATGCCTCATGCCTTTATGCATTTGATTTTTTTTTCAAGACAGGGTTTCTCTGTGTATCCCTGGTTGTCCTGGAACTCACAGAGATCCACCTGAGTGCTGAGTGTCCTGGAACTCACAGAGATGCACCTAAAGGTGTTCACCACCACGCCCAGCCTGTTGTAGTTGTCTTTTTAAACATGGTGATAGGTTTTCCTTTCCTACCAGTGTAGCAGTGCCCCAGCCTGGCAAAGAAGTGTTCCATTTACATATAGGGTCTTTCTGTGGTATGAGCCAGGGCCTGCTGGAAAGACTGACAAGGATCCAAGCCCTGGAATAAAATACCTACACCTCACTGAGCACTTGGAACAATTTAGGTACAATTTAGGTGGGGGGGGGGGGGACAAACAAAAACCACTCAGCTTTCTACATTAGAGGCTGGCAACAGAGACAGAGGAAGGCCCTGAATGTCTGTCCATCCCACAGCCTGAGGAAGGCCATGCATGTCTATCCATCTCAGAGCCAGAGGAAGGCCCTGCATGTCTGTCCATCTCAGAGCCAGAGGAAGGCCTCGAATGTCTGTCCATCCCAGAGCCAGAGGAAGGCCCTGCATGTCTGTCCCACTTAAAGGGAATCTTAAATACACAAGTGGAAAACATCTACCACCTGTCCCCAGAAGGGGAGGGGAGAACCAACGATGCACTAAGGGGCTACACTCTTGCCTCTCTGTCCACCCGTCGAGTCCATCTGGGGGCTGGAAGAAGCAGCCATGTATCCCATGCCCCATTTTTGATTAGACACAGCTGACTAAATCCCAGTGTACTGGACCCAGGCAGAACTAATTAGAGCCAGGTATGATGATGCATGTCCCAATCCTAGCACTCAGGAGGCTGAAGCAGGAGGGTTCCAAGTTTGAGGTCAGCCTGAATCACACAGTGAGACAACTGCAAAGAATCAACTGGATTGAGCCACAGAGGTGGGTGGGCTCCTTCAGACTGCACAGAGCAGGACATCTCTAAAAACCAACTAGAGGCAGAGTGACCCCAGACTATGAAACACCAAAGTGACCTACAGAATCAAAGGACCTTGTCTTTTCTCTTGCCATGCATACGGCAGTATAATGACGGGACAAAGTTTTGAACTGAACTGACCCTCACTGAGCCCCCCTTGAGATGTTTTAAACTGATTTATGGCCAGGCAAGATGGCACATATTTATAATGTCAGCACTTGGGAGGCTGAGTCACCAATTCAAGACCAGCCTGGGCTACATAGAGAGACACTGTCTCAAAAGAAAGGGGCAGAGGCAGGAAAAATGGCCTGGTGCCTAAGAGCGCTTGTTGTTCTAATCATAAGGACCAGAATTCAAATCTCAGCACCCACAAAACAATCAGGACACCTGGCGCACACTTCTAACCCCATCTCTGCAGACAGTGGCAATTCGAGGATAACTGATGCTGGCTGGCTTCCAGCCCAGGCAAGAAAACTCAAGCTTCAGGCTCGAAGAGAGACCCTGCTTCAAAAGAAATAGGTGGGGCGCATGGAGGACACCTGGCGCCCTCTTCTGGCCTTCATGCATGTGCGCAGGTTTACACCCACACACGTTCCCACATGCACATAGATAAATCTCTTAAAAGTTACAATATAAAACAAACCAATTTGCCTACACCCCTCTCCCTGTGCCCCTGGGAAAAACCCTCTACATCGTCTCTTCCCGAAGATGGGCCTATGTATCCTGTGATGATGCACTGTGGTCATTAATTGGTCGCCAGGTTTTGTTTG